ACTGATCATTTCTTTGTCAGTGGGCAAACGTACAAAATCAGCAGCGGATCAAATACTTTTTTCCCTCACTGTATACCCTAAACTCAGTCAAAACCGAAAAACTCCATAAAATTCACTGTGTGTGCTCCTTTAAGACTTATCACCTTTGACCTGTTGAAAACCCCCTAAAATCTAAATAACAACCCTTTATAAACATCATACTAGGTGTGTTGTTTTTTATTTGAAAAACCCAATTGAAAAACAACAACCAAAAATAGCCAGGCCCCACTTAATTTGGTAGCTCACTTTTACGACCTAAATACTGCCTAACTCCACTAGACTGCTCCCCCTATCCCTGGGCAACATTCCAATGAGATAAGCAAATCTCTTTCTCCTGGAAGAGAAATTATTCATTTTGTTAACCTTCAATTACCATCAGTAATCTAAAGATGGTAAGTACACACAAAACATGATACAGATATCCCCAGTCCTAACTCATCAATAATCGTTTGTATCAATCTAATTCCTCATAACTAATCCATAAAACCACTCAAAATTCCTTGAGTATACAATGATTATGTTTAATTGATTACCCTTCAGATCATATCCTCTTTAAATCTCACAATGATTATTGAACCCCTAAATCTGCTCCATGTGATCCCATATCAAATGATCCATTATCGTTTATTTGATCAACACCTTAGGAAAATCTGTTTCCCCTTCTATTGTTCCTGTCACCCTTCTTAATGTCATATTTCACTCATTTGCCAATATAATCCCTTACTTCATATAAGTAAGCAGTGATATTTTATTCCAGGCATCTATTTAAAAAATGTTTGATACGTTGTCTCCTAATGTCCCTTAACATATACTGTAGGGGATTTCCCTCAATCCTGGGAAAAAAACAAAAACAAAAAACTCCGCCCTCAGAACACATCTCTCAGTCTCTCTAGGTATTGACTAATAGTCTCACTGTCTCCCTGCTTACACTCATGGACTTTGGAGAAGTCGGCATGTCTGTGATAATATTCTCTCAGATTATCACAGAGTTGTGCCAATTTATCTCCATAAGCCCCTCCTTCTGCCCACTCTAGGACCTGCGCATTCCCATCTCCGGGAACCCAGTTTCCTCTCACTGCCACCGTCCTTTAACACTATTTGTCTGACTGCCCTCTCTAGTTCCCCTGTATTCAGCTTAAAGCTGGCGGTCAGCCCTTCCATATCTCTTCTGAACTGGTGTACCCCCGTCTTGGGGTGGGGTATCCCTTCCACTGCTCTCACTACATCTCTCTGAGTCCATGCTCTGTATACTTGTAATGTATCAGGCTGGTTGTCTTCTCCTGCTCTGGGGTTTGGCAGGGCTATTAAGGGATAGGATTGCTCCATTTACCCTTACCACTGCCAGCCCCATCTGACTCTTCCCCATCTGTCTCCTCTACCTCTATTGCTGACTTTCCATCTAACATTACTTTAACAGATAACCAATTATTTTTTATCTTTTAGTCAAAACAAACAAAACATCTGTTCCCAGAGCTGCAACTTAAACTACTCTGTTATACTAACCACTATGTGTTGCTAGGACAATCTCTTTTCTCACCCATTACGTATATCTATGTTTGGGTGAGCAAGTCAATATATCATTATTCTTCCAATTATTATTTTATGAAATCTCTAGTCTCTCATTTAACACATCCCCTTCATCAACATTTTACATTTCACTATGGTCAATTTGACCATAATCCTACATTACTTCTACATTTCCCAACATTAATTACCCCCCTAAAAGCTTGACCGAAATGTATTGTATCGACGTCATATGATCACCCCCGTACACGTGACCTGTTCCTCCACCAGGATTTATCATACCCCTCTTAGTAATGTGAATTTTCCACTCAGTTGGTAAATGAATATCCACATACCATTAATTCTCCTCTTCCCAATGCAAGATTGGGCAAGCCCTTTCTCCACCAGCTTTTAGAAGCTTCAAACGACCTTAAATATAGTCCCTTTCCTCCACAAAGAAAAGGCTATTATTTACAGGATTTATTTTTGTTGTCCGATCACCCACACAGATAAGCAGCCACTCGTGCTTAAATGAATCACTGAATGACTCACAGCCGCTCAAGCTAACCATTCACCCGTACGAGATGAGCAGACCTACTCTATCTTAACCTTCTCTTCACACCACACCTGGAATCACCCCGTTCTGTATAGGTAGTCTTGACTAGTCCCCCAGAATTATCTCATACTCTACGGAAGAATTTATCCACACAATGTAATCTTGATAATTCCTGACAGTCTCATACAACAGGAATGGGTTCTCCCTCTTTTCTATACAACCACCTGGAATTATTCATAGATGTGACTTTTGAGCAAATATTAGTTCTCACACGTATACAACCTTACATGATTATTGGTTAACACCATCGGTAACCCGGAGTTTGTAAGGCTCCAGTTTCATGAAACGGATAGAGTTACGGCAAAATCTACAGTTGTTTGTGACTTTTGACTTTACTAATATTCTATTTCTCACACATGCTATTTTAATTCCTTCTGGTGTACACCCCTCCCTGTATTTCTTTATCCCGGATTATTTGTTGAACATTACTGTTCTATAATCTACTACAGGTTCTCTGAATACAGGGTAGTTTCTTTTGGTAATGGCCTATTACCGTGAATCGTTACGGACCCACCCTGAGCAATCCCAGACTGCCCCAATTAATGAATAAAGACTACTGACCTTATCCTTGCAGCCGAGATTCAATGTAGGTTTGGATTCCGTCACCGTCTCTGTCATTAATCAGGTGTCATCTGGCCTGTCTTAACCCTTAATGTCAAAGGGCAGGACTTTCTATTTACGAATGTATCATTCGCCCATCGACGGTTTTCAGAGTTACCTGGAATGACAGAGGCAGGTATTGGATTCCGAGCTCGAAGGACCAAGCTGTTATGTGAATTATTTAACAAACTATTTCAGTGTCTCTGTGCGTCTCCCAAAATGAAGGAACTGCATAGTCAGAGATTTATTCATTGAGAATTCTGCCATCACAATTTCAGAGTCCATCTTTTATACTCATTTGTCATACAAAAATCCCTCCTCTCTGTAGGCGGGCTGTAGTTTTCCACTTTAAAACTGCTCTCCTGACCATCAGTACACACACACACACACACACACACACACACACACACACACACACACACACACACACACACACATACACAAACACACACACCCACATGCATTCCTTAGTTATCGCCGTCCTCACAATATCCTGCATACTCCTTAAAAAACTGTTTCTCCTCCCTAAATTGGGAGGCCCCTTTATCTTGGTTTCTCAGTTGTCTGTAGACAGTTCTCCTTGTCCTTTGTTGTCTGGCCTAACTCTTACTCACATTGCTAAATAATAATAATAATAATAATATGCCATTTAGCAGACGCTTTTATCCAAAGCGACTTACAGTCATGCGTGCATACATTTTTGTGTTTGGGTGGTCCCGGGGATCGAACCCACTACCTTGGCGTTACAAGCGCCGTGCTCTACCAGCTGAGCTACAGAGGACCACTAAATAGTAGCACAATGTCATAATCTTTACTGGTCCTACACTCACACATTACCAGGTAGTAGATTCTAACACATCTCACACAGTTTCAGAGTGTGATAATTAGTCACTACTAAGAAAGTACTAATCATACTTAAAACAAGAACATTTCACAACTATATTTAAGGGTGGAACATTTAGTCATTACTTTTAACCTGTATATATTTTAATTCCTATATCAGGGATCTTCTGTCACGGTCGTTGAGAGACGGGTTAGACCAAGGTGCAGCGTGGTATGCGTACATGTTTATTAAGATGAATAACCACTTGACAAAATAACAAAACGTGAAGTCCTATGGGCTATACACACAACAAGCCTAACAGGAACACAAACAAGATCCCACAACTAAGGTAGGCAACTAGGCTACTTAAGTATGATCCCCAATCAGAGACAACGAGCGACAGCTGCCTCTGATTGGGAATCACACCCGGCCAAACATAGAAATACAATAACATAGATCTCAAACTGAACTCACACCCTGACCCAACCAAAAAGAGTTCTCTAGGACAGGGCGTGACACTGCCACTGTGTCTTCTTATTGTCTCGGCCTTTAGGACTATATATCACGGTCGCAAGGCATATGAATTAACAGCAAACAATGCAAATATTACAACACATACAGTGTAGGTTGTAATATGGCTTTGGCTTTCCCAGTGATTTTACGCACGCACCGCTACTGTTAATTCATATGCCTTGCGACCATGATACCTGCTGTGCATCTGCGTAGTGGCTGTCTGTCATGACCAACCAAAAGCGATAAGCTATGGACTTTGGGGGGAAGCCCATTTTATACTGTTGGGGTATCAAGCTTGATTGCAGCTTGAATAGAGGATGCTTTATGTACACACCGGTACACAGGGGACACGAGTGTATTACCGGGAATGCACATCAAGCCTAGACGATAGTGCATATCTATTGCCCCTGCATTATCGGCTGACTAGGCTAATATATCTTGCCTCAGCCACAATCGATGTAGTTATGTATTTCAGTAACAGGCAATCCTGTGTGTGTGTCTCTGCAGCGTCAGTGAAATACAGCCATTAACGAGGTAATGATGCTGCAAATGTTCAATCTGCTTCTCTTTCCTAGATTTGTATTCCTCACGAGAATTTGCAGTATTTGACGTCCCACTCATCCAACACTCTAAACAGTGACTGTTTCTCCGTGGGTCTTACCTAGGCAGCGTAATAAAGGTCCATAAACAGCAGCAGGTGAGTTTATATTTGTAATTTTTGCATCCACTCATGGCCTAATGACTCTTCCCTTGCCCCAATCAGTGAATTCGTAATTTGATGGCCCAGGCTTATTGAATTGTGCAGAACGTTGATAAATGTACCCTTTACAGCAAGGAACAGTAAGGAAAATGTATTCTCTGGGCACAATGTATTTTCTATCTGAAAGTGTTGTGACGTTGTATCAGAATAGGCCTACCGTCCTGAATCTGTTATCGTTTCAAGATCAGAGCAGAGGACATCAAATCCTGTTTCCCTACAGCAGCATCAGTGTGACAATACAAGTATGAGTCAGGTAACTACAATGAAATCATACAGTTAGCTAAATATGCTAAATATGATGTGGCTGTCCATGGTTCTGATTTCTGAGTGTGCGTGTGTGTGCGTGCATCGTGCAAGTAGAAAAACATGTTGACTCACCCTACTTGTAGAGAAACACCAATGCTATCCTCTCTTTAATGTTGACGAAATGGTCTATCACTCTGTCAGACAGCACACACTGAAGTGTCCTCGCAATGAAGAAGCAATTAGAAAGATTTTGGAAATGCTAGAAATACATCCAAAGGTAGTTCACCTTTATTCGATATGATCATTTAGATAAAGAGGAACATTGTGTCCCCAATTAAATGGGAAAAAGCACAGCTTGAGTTTAGAATAGTAACGTCCAGGGAAATAACACATAGTTGTAATACTCCTCATGCACACTTACCTGTATGTGTACTGTGTATTTTAACTCAGGTGCAGGATGATGAGGTCTGGGAACTAATCAGAGCAGAAGAAGCCAGTGATGCCCCTGAGCTGGAAAACCTGGAGGTATGTGTGGTCTAATTTCAGACTTTGCTACTTGGTCAAATTACGAATGACAGGTCAGGGCAGAGGGAGGTGGTCAGAGCAGAGGGGATCAAATCCTGTTTCCCTGCAGCGCATCATTGTGACAATACAAGTATGATTCAGGTAACTACAATTAAATTATACAGTAAGCAGCTGTGTAAGCCTGTGAACAATAATAAATAGCCTATCAATCTCTTCCTCCTAGCCAAGGATAAGTTTGGAAAAGCAAATCAGGAGCTTCTCACCAGATGCAGCATCTGCCCTTGCAAGTAAGTTATCATATCTCACTGAGCTTTATGCATTGTATCGTCAGTCGTTGTCAACTGTGTTCCTAATTACATCATATTTTGTTTTCAGGAGCTGGAATTAAAGAGGACATTGATATTCAAGAGTTAACAAGAGATGATCTGAACGAACTTCTGCCAGGCCTTGAGCATTTCAAACTTAGAAAGAGGATCAGTGAACTTCTAACCAAATCTAAACAGGTTGGTATAGCCCCAAAAGCTTCTATGGCTACTGTACCACTTTGTGGGATCATTCAGTGTAGTTAATAGAATGAAGGTTTTTGATTCAATATAGAATTCCATTGTATGTACTAATCCCCCCATGTTTTCTCAACCTTTTTTGTTTCTTAGGACACAGCTAAACCTATCGATTTAATTCTTAACGAGTTTAGGGACATTTCAGCTGTTGTCATGAAGAGTAAGTCCCTTTTCAAGGACTTTCAGCATAGCTGTCACCCAATACATTTGTGGTGTCTCTTTGGTTGTAATTGTAATTTTATGCACTGGTCACTTTCTCCTTACAGATGCACTTGTTCCTGGGGGAGTGTTACATGGCTACGTCCCTATTCTTAGAGATTTGGAGCAGCAGCTTGCCAAAGCCCTGCACTTCATTCAGGCACATGTTGAACTACTTGAGAGCTACAATAAAGAAGAGCCCATGGAGGCTGAGGGCAATGCTGTGTCCCCATCAGTTGACTCTGCTACAGCAGGAAACCAGCTCATCCTTCATGAATTACAAGACATAGATAATGGTATAAAAATTGTAAACACGTAGATTTCATGAATTGTATAATTTTGTTGAGAAGTTAAACATTCAAGACATTCACTATTGGGACGTTAATGGCGCTCGAACACAGTCTTGTCTTAGTTTGGAATGACTCAGCTAACAGCCCCAATCTTCAATCTTTTTCAGTACATAAAAAATCTGTTAAAGGCGCTTCAGAACGACCAGGTAACTCGAAGTCTTAAACACAGCACATGTTATCAAAACGTAAGAATTCTATAGATGTTTGTAAACCCTTTTATAGCTGGCAAAGCCAACCACAATGACTTGCATAGACTCACAAGAATGTGCTGCAAAAACATTGGATTTTCATTCATAATACTTTGTTGTCCTCAGCCTTAGGTGCTGTAGAGACCCACCCCAAACGACCAAGAACAGATGTGGATGACAAAGGTCATTATCAAAGCCTAAAAACTGTTCAATGTCATTCAATCCTTTAAAGTATCATTAATTTCTAAGTAAAAAAATATGATGTAGCAATCACTGATTGCCTCTTTAAGGAATTGGAAACAATAATGTGTTGAGATAGTTTGATTTGAATTGCTAATTTCAGATAGTTCCTCATCCGTAGATGGTAGCATCCAGGCCCAAAAAGATAAGGAAGGAAAAGAACCTGGAAGTTCGTGGAAGTTCTCCCACTTCTTCAGTGAATCTCTATTCAGAGGAAATGAAACAAAACATTTGCCAGGTGAGATTCTTGGGATATGCTTTGTACTAATCGAAAATCATTTGTTCATGCATTTCCTGTCAGTCCACCGTTCATATCAATCTGATTAGCATAAATCACTCCTCCCCTCTCCGCTGTGATGGCTGATGTGTGATGAGCTTTCTAGCCTGAAATGACTGCAATGGAAATCCACCACTTTTCTTTTGTATGCAACATCTTGGGGATATACTGTATGTAGTGTTGTAATTTAATTATGTTTTGTTTCAAGTAGTTAAAGTCCATTCACAAGTATGTGGAAAAACCCTGAACACTCACCTTGCACTCATGAAACAAGTGGATAATCTGGGACTTAAGCGAGAGGAGACCAGTGCAGAGGACTGCCAAGTCATGATGGTCTTCTGTCCTGTTACATCTCGTGTGGGAACTGACATTGAGGCTGCCATGAGCCAAGTTCCAGGTAGGAAAGCCTTTTGAGATTACACCAAGAAAGTTAAAGAATTCCAGACCGAATACAATTGTCAATACTACTTCTATCATGGGATTTACATTTTACTCAACAGGATGTATTGGTCCATGTTGTAGAATTACTTTTTGTCTCCAAATATTTTTTAGTGGAAGTACATTTCTAAAGCTTGCATCGTTTTGTCTCTCAACAGGTAACAGAGATGCCATTCTAGTGGTGATGCACCATACTTATGATCAGAACTTTGTCACAAGCCGGAGATCTGCATCTCACTACAAAAACATAGTGGAGGAAGTGAATGTTCTCTTCCTTGACTCTGTGGGACTTCTGCATTGTAAAACAAATGATGAAGCAGTGACTCTCATACATAAGGCCTTACAGAAATACAACAGCAGTACTTAGACATTAAGTGCCACATTGTGGCAACACAAGGAAAGAGTCTGAAGTCTGTAACAAGATTACAACGCCGCCAACATTATTTAAAAACCTACAATTCTACAACTTCCACCCAGGGCGTTGGTGACTCATTCTAGTTTAGAATAAAGCATATCACAATCTATATAGTGAACCAAATGAAAGATTATCTTGCTACTCAATAAGGACAATATTAGACTTCTCCCTGTAGAACCTCTGGTGTGAGTGAATCATTGAAGATGGGATGCCTCATATGTATTTGTGAATTTCAGCTTGTTCTACCTTTAGTATTAGAAGCACTTATTGTTTAAGGTGTTACGTACTTTGTGACATTATGCCTCAATCAGATTGAATAGTTGTACCTACAGTATAGTTGGACCTACAGTATAGTTGGACCTACAGTATAGTTGGACCTACAGTATATAGCCTCGTTATTGGTATTGTATTGTGTTACTTTTCATTTTTTACTTTAGTCTATTTAGTGAATATTTTCTTAACTGCATTGTTGGTTAAGGGCTTGTAGGTAAGCATTTCACGGTAAGGTGAATACCTGTTGTATTCGGCGCATGTGACAAATAAAATGTATGAGAATTTGTTGCTTATGAATGTTCTGAATTCTTCTCATAGAATAAGACAAGTACAAGTGTTGCATAAATTATTGAATAACTTAGTAATAATGACATTGATTTTCCCTCAAACTCTTGTGATATCAATGTACATAGACTTATTCAATTGTGTTGTGAGGAATTTCCGTCTGCATATGGACTAATAAAGTACCAATCTATTCCAAAGCTAAATAACAAAATAAAGATGCAGATGCTCATAAATTTGTTCTTATTTTCATAAAAAAATTAAGAGTACACATGCAACATTGATTAGGACAAGTGTTGAGTCAAATATTTAATATTTTTATATTTATCACAACCCTTGGTAAGAATGTCATTGATTAGAAAAACTGTAATCATATTTTTTTCCAACTCTTCTTCTGATATCAATATAAAGATGCATAGCGGTATTCATTTCTAAACATCCTTCTAGAAATACTATAGGCATGTTTGCATTTATTGTCACACAAAATAAGTGATTTAGGATCACTTTTCTCTTGCCTCAACCATCGTTTCATCACAAAGTAAAGACAGGCTTTTATGACAAAACAGCAGTTGGTTTTGATACTTAGTATGATAGTTTTGTCAACTGATGCAAAACCTGCTGTTGTCACTCCCCACTGTTAATAAACGACACCATAGTCAAAATGTCATAAGCCCACCAGGCCACAGGAAGAACACTTTGGTGCCAAAACACTCCATTTTGGTGCTACAGGCCCATGGTAAAGTAGATCAGTCAATGAGAATACATGTTCTTATTTCCTCAGGCACTGGAAGTAAGGCCATGTCCAATGATCCATCCATCAACCATCTCCACCTTGCAGAAATAAGTGTGTCTTGACACAGTGCAATAATGTTTTGACAGTGCATATCATTGATAAATCTATTATGATATTTCAGGTGGCCCAAATGTAATGTGTTTATAGGGATAGGCTTAACAGGAGATTGTCCTCAAATCCTCCCCCTCAACAGGAATTGGTCTGTACCCTGGTAATGTGTGCACTATGCATAAGTGCGACTAAAAACTTGAAAAACGTCCTTTTAGACTTCTGTATGCATCATATTATCATTTGTTTTGTCCTCATAGGACATTAGAACTACTGCCACATGCTGGAGAATATGGGTCATTAACAGTATATTATCTGTTCTTCAACATATTTAACTTGTCTCATCATGACCACTGGTTTTATGCCCATTAGACAGTATCATATCCCCACGTCACAAGAAACCAACTGTCTTGATTTCACAATAGCTTTACAATTCTCTCTCAGACACACATCATGGCATTTATCCCAGTTAACTCAACCTATACAACCAACCATCTGATACATCTTGTGAATATGTTAACTGGACAGCCATGGTTAATATACTCCTAATAACACACGCACACACACACAAAAAAAATATACATATACATACACACACACACACACACACACATACATAAACACAGATTCTGGTTCGGGGGAGGGACGAGGAAAAAAATGCCATCCATATACATTACATTAACAGCAGAGCAAGTCTGGCTAGGGTCAATATCCCTCCCCTTATAGTCCACACATCCTCTCTAACCCTGCTGCTGTAGCCCTGCGATTGACCCTCTGCGGTGTCCGTCACTGGCTTGGTCGGTTGGGGCGGTCCCTCCAGTAGTTGTTATAGGCCTCCTGGAACATGTTCTTGCAGCCGAGCTTGGCGTCAAGGCGGGAGCAGATGAGGAAGGAGCCGCCCATCTTGCGGTGGAGGGAGTAGGTCTCCTCGGGGGGCGGGGTGAGGCGCTGCTTCAGCATCACAGGGATCAGGTTGTGGATGCGCTCCGTGGTGCTCTGGGCTCCGAAGTTAAAGGGCTCCGTGGAGGCAAAGGCCTCGCCCAGGATCATCACCGCGTCCACATGGGCATTCACCATGGACTGAGGGACGGGCAGAACATAATCAGAGAGAGTAATAACCTGTATGTGTTTGTGTTTTAGTGGGTTCAGGGGGAGCCATTGTAATTAAGTTATGGGTATTCACTACTCAGTTTATGCCATGGAGTAATGGAGAGCCTTTTCAATTCATTGTCTACGACTAAATAAACTAGTATGTGGCATTGTTGACTCATATGTTCAGAACGAATGATGTGACTCACCTTTGACTCATAACCTGTGAGGAACTTCATGTCTACTGATCTCTTCCGAACCCCCTCTCTGTCTCCCTCTGCTGCTGACTTGATGAGCTGATTAAAACACAATGAACGCCACACACATCGAATAAATCATTTTGATCTGTTATGTTTTGTTGTGGGATAAAGTCTAATATCTTACCTCAATGTAAATGTCAGTGAAGTCCTCACTAAATCCTCTTGTGGCTCCGAAATCCAACAACGCAACCTATGGATGGAACAGTAGTAATGTTTAGTCATTCTAAGCATTCAGCAACATCGTGCTACTGTATAGGATTAGCATGCTCTACAGAAGACACCAAGAAGACGGAAGATCCATTTAAACAGAGACAACCTTTAGGAAGGTCATCAAAATTAGTTACAGGACTAATGATGAAGTTGATAACAAGAGTTAAAAGGGAGACTCACTCTGTGTGTCTGTGGGTCGTAGAAGAAGTTGGACCAGTTGGGGTCAGTCTGCATGTATCTGAACTCAAACAGCTCCCTTAAACAAAGTTTCAGGATATTCTCACAGATCTGACACACACATAGAGACAGAGGCAGAGAGAGAGAAAGATACTTAAAGATCACACATCTTTCAGTCTGCAATTTCACCACCAAGTGGCAGTAATACACTGTAGCAGGTGTTTTGGTGGGTGAGGTGACAGAAATTAGGTTGTTGTAGTGGCGTTTGTTTTACACATCAAATCAAGCTTGGCAAGCAGAAAACACACATCTAAATCCACATTGACACACTGTACAATAAGTAAGTATGTAGTAAGTACCAAAATACACAATGGTGGCCTTTGTTAATGTATTTGTTATTGAACACAGTTGCAGCATATACTGACCTCGTTTTTGAGTTCCTGGGAGAGTTGTTCAGCCTGGTCCAGAGGGAAGCCGGGGACCAGCTCTGTGGTGAGGACGGCGTTGCTGCTCAGCTCGTCTATTACGTCTGGTACGTAGAAGAACGGGTGGTCTTTCAGCAGCTCCCTGTACCAATCACATAATACTCATCAGACGCCTGAACACCACAACACACAGCTCTGAAAACTATAGCTGGACAAGTCAGCACTTAAGATTAAATGGGAGTATATGTACATTATTTATGTCATGACAGTTCACAGGATATTTCCATTCTTTTCAAATAGCATTATGTTACTGTATGAACTTAAAATAACGCGGTATGATCTTCTCTTCAAACTCCACAGATTTATCAGTGAGTGACCTCAACAAAAACTATTTGCATCTCCACAATCCCTCAAATAATCCTCCAATGTCTACACTCTAACTCCATGTGCTTGGGGCTGTAGAAATCCCTGTTTAATGGAAGGGGGAACCACATACTGTATGAACATGTATAGAAGGGAGCGTGTCACCGGCCATGGTCAAGGTGAAAAAGCATGTCATCCACAGCTGGTGCGTACCGTGTGTAACAGGAGCCTCCTCTCTGGACATAAACCATATCTCTCACCCTGCCTTCCTGTCAACAGACCCGGGGATGATGGCGCGGGGACGGGGGGGCATGAGGAGATGGCATGGGGAGGGGGTGCTTGTTGTCTTCTTGTATTATGTCCAGATCAGCTATATTTAAATGCTGGCTGCAGGCGAATGGTGCACATTTATATCAAGTCATCAAACCCAACGCTCCCCAGAGGGCTAGAGTGGCTATTCTTAGACCCTACAGGCTACAGTACATTTCCTGATCTGGAGTCATACAATGATATGTTGTGGTGTCCTCCCACCATGATCTAGAAAAGGCACTGTGTTTAAGAGATTTACCTTGGCCCCCTTGGGAGAGATGTATTTACTAAGTGCTCAATAAAAAGCCACAGCTTGAGGCATCACAAATTCCTATTGCTTGGCTACATCCAACTTCATCCAAAAGATAAAGCAATCTTTCCCCCTTCATTTCATTTCTGGAGCTTGCAGTGACGATTAGATGATGAAAGTAGTTACGGGGAGGTGGTCTTTAAGAGGAAGCTCATCAGGTTGTTTTGATCACTCACTGGAATTTCTTGGCACATTTGGCCTCTCTTATGTAATCACATTCCAGTGCCAGCTCTCTGCTCATCACCTCAATCAGATGCTCAGGGAAGAGACCTGCACAAGATGTTAACAGAGGGAGAAAGAGCGAGAGAGAGACAGAGAAACAGATTGATTATGGTTGACTGAGGTCTCATGTAGAGAGGGATGTGTGCTTGGATCATTCCCAGAGTACAGACTCAGTGGAGGCCCAGACTGATGGGTATTGGACACCATCATTGATCATCTGCTGGGTGACTCTGCTATCTATGACATTGTGGGCTCTATTTTCGTCTGGCGGTAAGGAGGCACAAGTGTCAAACGCACGTTAGTTTATAATTTCGTCATGTAAAAAGTGGCGCACTGGCATTTTCCACCCCTTACACCAGGTTCTGCAATTTACCTGTCTAACATCAGTTTGCTTGCGCTGAGGTGGGGAAATATTTGAGGTGTGTCCTTAAAAACGTGTGCCAATATAAGTCTGCGCAACTAGGGATATTTAAGAAGGACCGAAAGCTGGTCTTAGCGGTAACACAATATGTTATGGCATTGATTTTTACCAGCGGAGGTGCACATAGTAGTCTTATGTCCATCACCAATGTTTAAAAAGACTTCTTATTGTTTTTCGTGAACCTTCTTATTTTATGCATCTTCAACTTTCCTCTGTTGGACCTAACTGTCAAATTGCGGGAAATCCGATCGCTGTCTGTGGTGCTGAATCCGCTTGTAGACTATGTTTGCCCGTTTTTTTGTTTACCTTTCACGGTCATATCAACGGCGATGGTAGGCTATAGCTACATATATTTGGGGGAGCAGTAATGGTGAATGGACATTCCCCCTTTCTCTTTATATTGGATATTTTTCCAGCTCCTGTGAAAAGTTTGGATGTGCGTTAAACCCTCTATAGTCTACATTGTCTTAGGTCTAATATGCCCACGGGGAGCAATTATGGTAACTGTAACGGTATTTAGACAAAGGCTATTTGTTGTTTAATTTTATTAGAATTTGATTCAAATGATTAACTGTCTTTTTAGGTCTTATCAATAGGGAATTTAATCTTGCTTATTGACAACGTTTGGCATGCCCATGGCTCAGACATAATGCATAATACAGTAGGCCCATGTCAGTGCGAATGCTATGTTAACAATATATTCCCATTTTTAAGCCATGCATATTTAGCAAATATGGGATAAGGCTAGATTTTTATATTTTGTTTCTGTAGGCTATTTAACAAACTAGGCTATAATGGACTAACATTCGAATTGGAGTCGATGACAACGTAATACATATAAGACCGTAAGTACACGACTTGAAGCAACCACATATTTAGCCATGGAGTACGTTCTGATTGGCCAGTGAGGGGTCAAGCCTCAACACGCCTTCAACTTGTTTATTCATCAAAACCCAGTCATTTCGCCGCCACCGCCAGCTACTGCTTCCATAATTCTGGTTGTGAAAATAGCAAAAATATTTCTGACACACCCCGAACCTATTGCGCTACCGCCTGCTCTTAGATTTACCATTGCGTTAGGGTTGTTAAAATAGAGTCCTGTATGTGTGTGCGAACAGGATCAGGGCAGGATCAGAGTGTGTGCTTACAGGGAGGGGGGCAGTATATTCTCCACGTTATGTTGTGCTGCATGTGTGATTTACGCTAGGTCATAAATGTGATTACTACGTCATGCTACAAATAAAAACCATAAAATAAAAAATTGAATTCTACAAAACAAATCTGAAATCCGTTCAGGGATAGTCACCTTCAGGCAGTGCGTTGCTCATGGTGAGGAGAGTCATCAGGTTGTTGACGTCACTGTCGATGCTTTTAGCCACTCCGGGGTACTGCATGGGACAAACGGAGCAGGAGAAACAGCATGACAAAACAACCGTGTTTACCAGTTTGACTCTGACACCAAAAACCAGCCCTGACGACAAGCTCTGACGTGAAAACAAAACACTGCCATAATGAGGGAAATGGAGACGGTAATTTAAACTTCTGAAAAGCACTAAGAGCCATGTCTATATACAATTTTGGAGATAAATCTCTACAGTTTATGACAACAGAGCTTACTCTAAAGTATTTTAAGATAAACAATATGGAGTTGATACACAACACATTCCCATGTGCTTCAAAAGGTCATGAATAAAAGCTACAGACTTCTTTTATCTCTTCAAGGAAAGACGAGCATTGCCTTAAATGGAGCCATGAGAACAGCAGAAAAACAATCAGATTGTGGAGCTAATGCTTGTGGTCATTGCTGACATTAGTTCTCTCTCATTCAACATTGGTAATTTCTACACTTTGGACTATTACATCACTGTAGCAGATGAGGCCTTTAATGTAAAAACAGAGGATATAAAATACCTATACTGTGATGTAACTGAACTCCTACTCATACCAGAGGTTTGTTCAGGAGGGTGCAACATTACAGAATGTTCAGATATAGAAATATATTGGTCTGTCATCGTGTAGAACACTGCATCCTGCTGAATAACTCCCAGGTCTCCATCTCACCTGGATCTTCATGGCCACCTCCCTGCCATCCTTCATCTTAGCCAGATGGACCTGTCCGATGGAGGCCGCAGCAAACGGCCGCTCCTCAAACGAATCCAGCTTGTCCCTCCAGTTAGGGCCAAGGTCGTTGTTGATGGATTTCTACACAGGGAAAAGGACACATACACACAGATACACTGTTGAGGGAGCTGCCATTAGGTATCACTGCGATGGGCTTATAGCCTTCAACGATGGTACCTTATGTCATGACTTGCCCTCATGGGTTGAGGATCAAACATGCCGGCTAGGCAAAGGTTTGAACACCCCCTTTCCCGGGGCCAGTTTTATGACCGGTCGTAAATACCACTCGCTCTTCCTTGCCATGAAGTATTGGGAGAAAAAAAACCTTTTAACAAAGGAAGTCTTCCTGCCAAGACTCCAACATCCAAAAGTGGATAATGAAACAACATTTGTATAAAATAATGTGGGAAATGGTCGGTAGGGACTTAAAGAACAATCATGTCAAATTCGTTACTAAACTCAGCAAAAAAAGAAATGTCCCTTTTTCTTCAGGACCCGGTCTTTCAAAGATAATTCGTAAAAAAACAAATAACTTCACAGATCTTCATTGTAAAGGGTTTAAACACTGCTTCCCATGCTTGTTCAATGAACCATAAACAATTAATGAACATGCACCTGTGGAACGGTCGTTAAGACACTAACAGCTTACAGATGGTAGGCAATTAAGGTCACAGTTATGAAAACTTAGGACACTAAAGAGGCCTTTCTACTGACTCCAAAAAACACCAAAAGAAAGATGCCCAGGGTCCCTGCTCATCTGCGTAAACGTGCCTTAGGCTTGCTGCAAGGAGGCATGAGGACTGCAGATGTGGCCAGGGCAATAAATTGCAATGTCCGTACTGTGAGACGCCTAAGACAGTGCTACAGGGAGACAGGACGGACAGCTGATCGTCCTCGCAGTGGCAGAACACGTGTAACAACACCTGCACAGGATCAGTACATCCGAACATCACACCTGCGGGACTGGTACAGGATGGCAACAACAACTGCCCGAGTTACACCAGGAACGCACAATCCCTCCATCAGTGCTCAGGCTGTCCGCAATAGGCTGAGAGAGGCTGGACTGAGGGCTTGTAGGCCTGTTGTAAGACATCGCCGGCAACAACTTCGCCTATGGGCACAAACCCACCATCGCTGGACCAGACAGGACTGGCAAAAAGTGCTCTTCACTGACGAGTTGTGGTTTTGTCTCACCAGGGGTGATGTCGGATTTGCGTTTAGCGTCGAAGGAATGAGCGTTACACCGAGGCCTGTACTCTGGAGCGGGATCGATTTGGAGGTGGAGGGTCCGTCATGGTCTGGGGCGGTGTGTCACAGCATCATCGGACTGAGCTTTGTCATTGCAGACAATCTCAACGCTGTGCGTTACAGGGATGACATCCTCCTCCCTCATGTGGTACCCTTCTTGCAGGCTCATCCTGACATGACCCTCCAGCATGACAATGCCACCAGCCATACTGCTCATTCTGTGCATGATTTCCTGCAAGACAGGAATGTAAGTGTTCTGCCATGGCCAGCGAAGAGCCCGGATTTCAATCCCATTGAGCACGTCTGGGACCTGTTGGATCGGAGGGTGAGGGCTAGGGCCATTCCCCCCAGAAATGTCAGGGAACTTGCAGGTGCCTTGATGGAAGAGTGGGGTAAAATCTCACAGCAAGAACTGGCAAATCTGGTGCAGTCCATGTGGAGGAGATGCACTGCAGTACTTAATGCAGCTGGTGGCCACACCAGATACTGACTGATATTGACCCCCCCTTTGTTCAGGGACACATTATTCAATTTCTGTTAGTCACATGTCTGTGGAACTTGTTCAGTTTATGTCTCAGTTGTTGAATCTTGTTATGTTCATACAAATATTTACACATGTTAAGTTTGCTGAAAATAAACGCAGTTGACAGTGAGAGGATGTTTCTTTTTTTGCTGAGTTTATGTTGTGATGTCATTAAAGACGGTGGAACAACATAACTGTATCTCTGGGGGTGTACACTTCCCAGTTATGAGGTTTACATCTAATTGTTGTATAAAACGAATGTATAATAAGTATAATAATACTTTTGTGAAGATAACAATGTGATTATAGCATTCTAGATGAGATGATTGTTTTCCATATTGATTTGTTCTCAGTCAGTGGCCACGCCCAGATGAGCACAAACATGATGGAACGCCCCTTTTACCCCGAGTGCATAAAAAGCCTTGAAAAACATTTTAACATTAGACCAGGAAGCCCAAGGCTTAAAAGGGTTGACACTCTACAAGACCAGCAGACGTGAAGCTTGAGCTAAACGTTATAAAATGGTTAGACCAGAAAACGTCAGACGTTGAAATTGAGAAATTCTGAAACTCTCAACCTCTACACGAGGTGAAGAAGACAATGCACTAGACCTTATCATCTCAGTCTGCAGCTGGCATGTATAGTCGTCTAGAGAACTTTCACTAAAGACAGGAGTTGGAAAGGACAATCCCTCTCTGACAAGTATCCATTCTAACCACAACTACGACCAGAAACTCTACCAAGGACATTGGGATCTCTGGTGGGCAAACCAGAGTCCTACATCATCAACTCAACTATGGAGGACAGCTACACATAAATACATGTTGCATTTCTAATCCAAATGAGCATTTAGTGGGGTTTTAAGCATTTGTGTAGCGTATTTTCCAAAGTAACCACAATAGTTTGAATCTGTCTCTGCCTTCCACTCAGACCCTCCTTCTACCCAAGCATTCATGCTATTGTTTGTTTTCATTGTATTACATTAGTAATCAATAACCTGTGTGTGTGTTTGTATTGTGTTATTATTTAGTTAGTTAATAAATAATTAAGCCAATTTGTTTATTGCTGTTATTCATCAATAAGGTTAGGGTTCTTGCAGGTTCAAGGATTATGCGACGTTCAGAATGAGACTGATAAGAGGTAATTATTTGATAAGTGATTTATCGATATATAACATATATATCTTCTAAGAGTTTCATTCGGGAGATGGTAACTCGTTAAACAATTTCTTCCGTGGTGCCCCAAATTCCTGATGAGTTCATTGTTACATGATTAATTTAATCGAGTGACAATTAAACATAGTTAGGTGATTCGATAAATAACAGTCATACATTCAAGTAAGTTACGTCACGACACTTATTAGAAGACTGGGGTTACAACAGATCTGATAGGTATCTTTATTCACTTTCATTGTCGTCATGACGGACTGACTGACTGACTAATTCATGACTCAAAAGAGCAGCTTGGTACTCATTTGTTTTCTAGTACTCCCCTTTATAGCCAGGGGCTAAAGGGCTAGTGACGAGGGTACTTAAGGGCAGGTTATTAAAGGTGAGACATTACCGTCATCTGCTTGATGGGCATGAAGTCTGCACTCTGTCTCACACGCTCAAATATCTTGGCCAGCTGGGGGTTGATGAAGGCATCATCTGAAACACAGAAGAGCGGGAGATGGAGGTGAATGACTGATCAGGCTGATTGACGCACAACAGTCAAAACAAAACATGAGGAGACAAGCTGTCTTGTTCCTGTCTGTCAACCTGTGCATTACACTATGCACCAACACAGGAAGGAAATTACAGGTCTTAATCAAAATGTCTTGTTCAGTTCAAAATGACCAATCAATATAAATAAAATCTAAGCCATTGGAACCTCTGGGAATTTAGATAGAGTTCTTCACAGTTCACAGGTCCTTGCCAGTGTTCACTAAATGTCTCTGGGAGGCCAAGACGTTTGGCACAGCAACCACCTTCACATAACTGAAGCTGGTAATGCCGTAAAAGGTCCCTCAGATTTGTTATAGCAACAGCGATGTCTGTGCATGTTAACCAAAACAAAGCGGTGTGAGCTGCGCTGCAGGGCATTGTGGGTAAGATCTACAACAGTATAAACATTCCGACAACAAGTGGGAAAAAGCACCGGAGGAGAACGGCAGGAAAACACATTAACTCGACCCCAAAAAAAACACAGAGGTCAGAGGAAGAGATTCCTGCCCGATCCGGCTGATTGTGAGTGAGGGTGACTTTACTCAGTATTTAGGCTTAGTTCGGCAGAACAAAAATCTATTCTCTGAATCACATCCATCGGCCTGTTTTCTGAACTGAGAATTACCTAAGTGGTGATTTTACCTGTCTTACTTTAAATTACGGATGTTTATCTTGACTTGTCTGAGGAACAGACACATGTATCTGTTATGATTAGACAGCCATTGAGCCAATCATTAAAGAGATTCTGTTACTTTTGTATACTTTTTAGCCAGTCGTTCTGAACGTAGCCAAAAGTGGTCCCCGAAAATTGCATACGCGTCACATATGTGCAGATGTGTACCACGTCATTGTGGTCTCTTCCGCTCTGCTGAGTGTGCATCTTGCTAGCTGTCACTCAAATGGCGAGGGGCTGAAGCTCATTGGCTAGAACTCGAATTGCTAGGGGGCTGGCCCATGTTGGGGAAAATGACGAAGCACAGCGTACAGAAAAACAGTCACTTTCAAACTAGGGATTTCGTGGGTAATTGAGGTAAGAAAGTAATTCTGCTCATAGATTATGCATGTAGGAACTACACATCTAACAGAATAAATATGAAAAGCATATGCATGGCCATGGTAGCAATTTAAAGAGAACCCTTTGGAGTTCATGAGGAAATTATCAGACCAAAGGTGAGGACAAAACAGTTAATCTGACAAAGAGTGAATCCAAAACATTGGTTCAGCTGTTGATTTCCATGTGTCATTCACATTTACTGTAGTTTCGCAGCATTTGTCAATAACGAAACCATGCAAATACTCTGGTTGATTCATTTACATAATAATGTATACAAGGGTTTGAGTGAGGGGTCTAACTGGTGTCTCCAAGTTATTGCGTTGTAAGGATAAGTGTAATGTACACAGTGTACGAAACATTAAGAACACCATCCTAACATTGACTTGTATCGCAGTCGGACCACAGAGTGAAGGAAAAGCAGCCAACAAGTGCTCAGCGTATGTGGGAACTCCTTCAAGACTGTTGGAAAAGCATTCCAGGTGAAGCTGGTTGAGAGAATGCCAAGAGTGTGCAAAGCTGTCATCAAGGCAAAGGGTGGCTATTTTAAGAATCTCAAATATATATTTTTTTGGTTACTACATGATTCCATATGTGTTATTTCATAGTTTTGATGTCTTCACTGTTATTCTACAATGTAGAAAATAGTAAAAATAAAGAAAAACCCTTGAATGAGTAGGTGTTCTAAAACGTTTGACCGGTAGTGTATGTCCCAGGTTGACGACAATAACTACTGAAATTCTACTACTAAATCTATTACTGAGCTTCTGTATACAGTTAAGACCTACCTGTATGCAACACCTTCCTAGAATACCAAGCCAGTTTGAAAAACAGTTTTGTCTAAAAACAGTAGAGGACACTAGTTTAGTCACCTCTGTTTACATAGGGAAATATCAGTTGTTTTCTAACAAGCAGCGATTATGGAGCTTTGGTATAGACCGGCCACTTCAAAACTCAAAGGTTGCAGTTCTGTCATGGCTGGTGGCTTATTTTGAACCCTGGCTATGCCTTGGCTGTTGCTGTCCCTCAGTAGTACATGTGGTATGTGTCACACAACTGACATGACAATGGCAGGAGAATGCCAGTGCATTGAGTTGCATTAATCTTATGCTGTGCCCTGTGACGCTGAATACCAGCTAGCTGGAGCAGTTGGGAATTAAGGATGGGCATTTGAAATAAAAGTGCTGTGTGTTGTTGTGACCCAACCTGAGGTGAACTAGGTGATGCATGAATAGATGCCAGTAAGGTGGGAGAGGGACAGAAATAACTCCTGTCTCTGTCACATAGTCATCTACAGAGGCTGGAGGAAAGCCTCACAGTATCAGCCCAGTGGAGGTTATGGAGATGACTCATGGCTTCCCTGACACTAGGGGAAAGGGTCATGAAGCCTGCTGTCAGAAGGTGTGCTGTGAAGGTGTGGTGCAGGAATCAAGCGCAGGACGCAGGAACTTAGTCCAATAGACTTAGTGAACCAAAACTCAAAACGAGTCAAAAGAGCTTGGAATACGAGCGATTACGCACACAGGCGTAAAATCAAACAAAATAACAATAACGCACAAACACGTGCGAGAACCTCTCCAACACAGAGGAGAGAACGAAGCACAGACATACACGACAGCAAGTTCAATCACACACAACACATGACAAACACAACGAGAACTTATAGGACAATAATGAACGCTAAACGATAACAGGTGTACAACATCAAGACAAAACCAAACGAACATCGAAACATACAACGGTGGCAGCTAGTACTCCGGAGACGACGACCGCCGAAGCCTGCCCGAGCAAGGAAGAGAGGCAGCCTCGGCCGAAACCGTGACACCTGCCATGCTGCAGCACAGTAGACATTGCTGAAGTGGGCAGTAAAAAGACGGTATGGCAAAGACACAAACACACACACACACAACAAATAACCATAGGGAACAGAGCAGCATAGAGGGGTGACTGGGGTCGAAAAGAGAGACAATGTTTTGAGAACAGAGAAGGTGCTACTGGAGGTGTGTATTACAATAAGGATCCCAAAGTAAGCCAGTTCTCACCTTGAATGCTGAGCATCTGTCCCAGTTTGAGTGCAGCGCCACGGACCTTACACAGTGTCCTGACGATCCGCTCTGCGTTAGCCTCTGATAGGAACGGACTGGAGTCCAGAACAGTCTTGTCAGCTGAGGGGAGAAATAACAGTCAGCTCTATGCTATACTCTGAGGTTGGCATGGAAAATGTGATTTTCCTGGCGAGAGGTGAACTAATGTTGAATCTCATGGCTTTAGTGGATAGGTAGTACAGGTATGGCTTAAGGGAGATAACTCTTTAATAAATGATATGTAACTGCAACTCGAAGTTGAGATCATTTGAGGTAAAGGTGGCCAGCTGTTAAGTCAAAGCATTGATATGATAATTCCTGACGACGCTATTGACACTCTCAACACATGGTATAGAACACCAGCTCTCTTCCTCGCACCCTGTCTAGAGCACCCCATTCCCATAAAAAAAAACTAAAACGTGTTTACTAGAAGACCGCTGAGGCCTGACGTGTGAATGTCTTTGCTGGCTATACTGTAGTGTGTTCAGTCCATGTGGGGTGTGTACGTCAGTGTGTATGTGCTCTATATTCCTGGGTCTGTTGGTGAAGCGTAGTCGCTGATTAACTCATTAGGCTCCACGTGTGGCGTCTACACTGGGGATCACCTTACTCCTCCCTCCCTCCCTGCTGCTCTCCCTGGATGAAGTTACACCAGGGCACAGCCTGGACACAAATCAGCTTAAAGCCTACCCACATTCTAGACATTTAACAAAACATTTCTTTTCAAAACTAGGCATTTTCATAAACCAGTGAGCTAAACAATCAGACTAGGAATCTCTTCTCTCTCTAAGTCAGTGCTGCCCAATTCCGATCCTGGAGGGCCGAAAGTCTTCGTTTTTTTGTTTCTACCTGGTAGTTAACTGCACACACCTGGTGTCCCAGGTCTGAATTAGTCTCTGATTTGGAGGAAGTGTTTCAGCCCTCCAGGACCCGAATTGGGCAGCCCTGTTCTAGGTAGTGCTTTGTGTAGCAGCACCAGTCGGTCCGGTTTGATGCCCTCAGAAACCCTCCAGCAGAGAAAGAGGCCCACCTGCCAGGCAGCCCAGGCGGAGTGAGGGGGAGAATGTGTGTCAGTGGGCCACACTGACATCAGGAGCCAGAGCAGTGCATACTAAGGCTTTAGGAGCAGAAGGAGATTTAAAAAGGACTTAAGGTATCTTGCTCCAAGATGACCTCAGGCACACTACTATATCCCCCAGGACAGTCTTGATTACCATTACATCAGAGCGCAGTGCACTGGAAGAGTAGACCAAAGTCTCCCCCAGTAGATCTGCTCTGATGACAAACTATACTCTACCACTACACTCACTCTGTATTGTGCAGCAATTGTGCTCATTTGATAATGGATGTGTACTTGTATACAATCTATGACTAAAGTTTGATTTATTAACTTATCAATCATTTCTGATCCATGGATTAAAATTTGATCTCCATTCAAAGCCCTAGATTCAATGTACTTGTCTCTCTTCCAGGGTATAAAGGAGAAAATGGCTCTGTGAATAGCTGTATAATGTCCCCATCTCCCCGGCACTGGATTAGACTGCCACACCACCTCCAGCGGTCCAACCGTGGCATGGCGGAAGACTAATTTAAGAGTGCGCTGGAAAGGTCAGCTCAATAAACAGCCCGTTCCAATTCTTCTCCCGACAGCTGCAGGCCCAGGCGTTAAAGACTGCTGGAGACCTCACCTGTCCTCTGTGAGTTACAGCAGGCCTTGTGTAACATAGCGCAGGGTTTCCCCCAAACTCGGTCCTGGGGCCCCCCTGGGTGCAAATTTTGGTTTTTGCCCTAGCACTACACAGCTGATTCAAATAACCAACTTATCATCAAGCTTTGATTATTTGAATCAGATGTGTAGTGCTGGGGGCCCAGGGACGAGTTTAGAAACCCTAACAGAGCACAGCCTTTCATTAAGGGCCCTTTGTAAGCGCTAAGACCACACACCTCAATTGAGCCTAACTATAGCAGTCTATGAACTATAGCCTAGTGTGTTTAGCTACGCTGAGTGACAAATGATTGATTTTGATATTAATTATTATGCCTCTCTGCATGTCTGTATAGGTTCATCATCATATCATGCCCTTGTCCATTGCATGCAAATGAAAGGTTACAATGTCATTCCTAGACTGGTTAAATCCTGCGAGAAATGTCAAAGGGGACATTGCGTGCATGTTACATCTGGGTAAGTGTCTAGTATGCATGCATGTACACGTAATGTCAAACATAAACCCGCTTCCAGTTAGTGTAGGAAACAGTTTCTGGTAAACAGTTATCGTTATCCTCACTTGGCCTCATACTCTTCATGGCTACCTCAGCCAGTGCTCCGAAACCCAGTCCTACAGCCAGACCTGTGAGGACACAACACAGTGTAATCAATCAAACACCACATCCTGTCATAACATGATGTTAAGCTCTGGGTTGTTCAGTAGGGTACAACGTTATGGAACGTTCAGATAGAAATATATTGTGTAGAACAGACATGGTTCTCTGTCATGAAGCGTAAGGAATCGTGCCAGCTCTATACCTTTCTATCTACAACGTTCAGATTATTGTGCCCTCCAAAATGTATTACAATATTGTACAGTACAGCCCATTGGGTAAATTGCTTCCCCCAGCCTTTTGCTTTCCCCATGACACATCAGTCAGGTCAAATCAGTTCCTGCTAGCTCTAGGAACAGTCATTTATGCCACTCTAGTCTATTTAAGACACAGATGTAGTTCAGTTCAGTCTTTCAGTTACATTTAACTTCATTTCAATAAAAACATTGAACCCACCTGTCCCTGACTTTACCTAAAGAATAGCTGGGCCTCGAGGACTACCAATAGCCACCAGCCTAATAAATACATTTAATTAGAAAGGCCTCATTGGACCGCTTGGTACAAATGTCATTTGGTTGTGTTTATAAAAGGTGTTAGGTAACAGAATATAAAATGTAAATATTTGAAAGAAACATTTTCATTAGTTTGTTACTGTGGGCTATATGTAAAAACAAAAAACCAGTAACACAGAATTAATTTTAAAAATCCATTATATTCGTGGAGTGCCTTTATTACAACTATGAAACAAAAAGCATGTGCATTGAAACACAGTAAAGCCTATTTTTATAACAAAACAAATAAAAATACCTGAGCAAGACACGCGGTCAATTAATAACATTTCAGAAGATATCAGTAGCCTAAACATCAGTATAGGCTCCAAGCGTGCTTGTGAATAGTGAAAATCAGCACAAAAGCAATAATGGGATTATAATGAATATAAGTGTTGATATGACAGCGGTGAATTTTTAAAAATATTATTGTCAGTTATTGGTCACATTATTTGTGGCCTCACTCGTTGCTCACAGTATGGTGTGCGTCTTCACACAACAGTTGGATCTCATTTAGTCATTCTCCTTGTCCTAACAGTCACCACAAATCTTTGTCACTTTCACTTGATTGCAACACTTCCCACAAACAAGTCACTTGCAGCTGAAACGGGTGTCGTGGGTTCTGTTCCGAGTGCATCTGCCCAGCTTGCAGTTTCTCCTCCCCGGGAGCTGTGCGCAATTTGGCTCGCAATGGCTCGCATGGAATCATAGGTCTCTCACGTAGCCCATGTGCCAGACTCATGATGAAGTCTCTCCTGCTCATTGTGTTGTTCATGCACTGCTTGAACAACCGCGCGTGTGTTGATAGCAGCCAAGTCAAGCATGTTGCAGAACACAGCAACAGTTCTTCCTTTCACCTAGTACAGCCGTGCCATCTGATCAGAAACAATATCCGATACTTGCTCACCTGCTGCCTGATATGGATCCTTTCCCAGATATGGAAAGCCGTTCAGCATGAATCAGAATAATTAATCATTTCTAATTAATTTGTCATAAAAACAATGAACATAATTCCACTTTGACATTATGGGGTATTGTTTTGTGTAGTACGCCAGTGGCAGAAATACTTTCTGAAGGCACTGTATGCGCTTCTGGATCAATCAATACATTTTCTGACTGATTACAATTAGAATTTGGTGTCCTGAAGTTATGACCCATTTTAACATAATGCATTAATTTAGCAATTTATTATTCATTATGGAATATGTGTCCTTCGCCCCCGCCTGTCGGGCACTGTTTTCCCGCAGCACTGTTTTTATTTTTTATGGCAGTAGCCATTGAATAATCACCCTTTTGCTTCCATGTTGAATTGATAGCAGAGCAGTTACAACACTGTCTGGATCTACCCCTTGGTGTTATTTCTGCCATAGATCTCTACTTTTCACTAAACAGGAATTTGGGCACAGAAGAGTAATGTGTCACTGTACTGAGAATATGAGGGGAATCCAGATCTACAGCACAGAATTAAGATCACAGCTAACTAGCACATTCCATGGCATGTACAGGGCATTCGGAAAGTATTCAGACCCCTTGACTTTTTTCCACATTTTGTTATGTTACAGCCTTATTCTAAAATTGATTAAATTAATGTTTTTCCTCATCAATCTACACACAATACCCCATAATGACAAAGCGAAAACAGCACATTTATAAAAAACAAAAAACAGAAATACCTTACTTAAATAACTATTCAGACCCTTTGCTATGAGACTCGAAATTGAGCTCAGGTGCATCCCATTCCCATGAATCATCCTTGAGATGTTTCTACAACTTGGAGTCCCCCTGTGGTAAATTCAATTGATTGGACATGATTTGGAAAGGCACACACCTGTCTATATAAGGTCCCACAGTAGAAAGTGCATGTCAGAGCAAAAACCAAGCCATGAGGTAGAAGGAATTGTCCGTAGAGCTCTGAGACAGGAGTGTCGAGGCACAGATCTGGGGAAGGGTATCAAAAGATTTCTGCAGCATTGAAGGTCCCCAAGAACACAGTGGCCTCTATCATTCTTAAATGTAAGAAGTTTGGAATGACCAAGACTCATCTTGAGCAATCGGGGGAGAAGGGCCTTGGTCAGGGAGGTGACAAAGAACCTGATGGTCACTCTGACAGAGCTCTAGAGTTTCTCTGTGGAGAACCTTCCAGAAGGACAACCATCTTTGCAGCACTCCACCAATCAGGCCTTTATGGTAGAGTGGCCAGACGGAAGCCTCTCCTCAGTAAAAAGGCACATGAAAGCCTGCATGGAGTTTGCCAAAAGGCACCTAAAGACTCAGACCATGAGAAACAAGATTCTCTGGTCTGATGAAACCAAGATTGAACTCTTTGGCCTGAATACCAAGCGTCACGTCTGGAGGAAACCTGGCACAATCCCTACGGTGAAGCATGGTGGTGGCAGCATCATGCTGTGGGGATGTTTTTCAGCGGCAGGGACTGGGAGACTGGTCAGGATCGAGGGAAAGATGAACGGATCAAAGTACAGAGAGATCCTTGATGAAAACCTGCTCCAGAACGCTCAGGACTTCAGACTGGGGTGAAGGTTCACCCTTGCAACAGGACAACGACCCTAAGCACACAGCCAAGACAACACAGGAGTGGCTTCGGGACAAGTCTCTGAATGTCCTTGAGTGGCCCAGCCAGAGCCCAACTTGAACCTGATCGAACATCTCTGGAGAGACCTGAAAATAGCTGTGCAGCAACGCTCCCCATCCAACCTGACAGAGCTTGAGAGGATCTGCAGAGAAGAATGGGAGAAACTCCCCAAAAACAGGTGTGCCAAGCTTGTAGCGTCATACCCAAGAGGACTCGAGGCTGTAATCACTGCCAAAGGTGCTTCAACAAAGTACTGAGTAAAGGGTCTGAATACTTTTGTAAATGTGATATTTCAGTGTTTCGTTTGGAAAAATTTGCAAAAGTGTATTAAAAAACACTGTTTTTGCTTGTTGTTATGGGGTATTGTGTGTAGATTGTTTTTTTTCCCTCATCAATTTTAGAATAAGGCTTTGACGTAACAAAATGTGGAAGAAAAGTCAAGGGTTCTGAACAATGTCACACACAGCACTCGCCGCTTCACACCCCCAAGTTAGTTTAGGACAAAGCAGCGGGACACAACATACCAGCAAGCTGCTGGCTCACCTGGATATCAACTTACAGAAATAGGGAATTGAGTTTATGGGGGGAAAATAGATGGCTTGTTTTGGAGATGACAGTAATACCAGGGTACTGGTTAGACACATTTTGAACATCATGGTATGCTAACTTCCGTGGTAAGACTACAATAACAAACAGCTCTACATGGAAGCATTCTGAAGCATGTGTACCTGTCAAAGAGAACTGAAACTCAGAGAACATGATGTTGATTTAATGTATCCATGTTCCAACCCAGAATAACAACCAGGAGAGAACAGAACAGGAAACATACATGGCTAGGTATTTCCTCGCATCGGTACACCGACATCAGGAACTGGATAGCCGGTCAGCAACTCTCTCAACATGAGACCAATTTATGTTCAATCCTCAGGGGACAGCACATCACTTTTCCCCTGGAGGAGAGGGCCCTGGGGGGTCCTACTAGGTACTCCCCTGAGCGATGTGGTCATATTGGGGAGGGAGAGCAAACCAATAGGGCTCCAGAGTGCTGGACTGGCAGATGTCTGTCTATTGAGACTCACGTTAGTCAAATGCCACCAAACCTGGCAACCCTAACTTCCAGCTGAAGGACGGTATTGACTGGTCAATACTGTCCCCGCCCCCAACCTCCCATGAAAGAGAGAGAATGCCGGAGCTGGCCCTGTAATGGTGTCAGGGACATGTATGAATCCAAAGTAAACAGTTGCTCCTGAGTGGCTTTGCTCTCACTTGTGTATCGGCTCGCTGCATGGATCTGATCACCTCCCAAACAGGGACAAAATGTGCAGCATGCTGGCAGAGAGACAGGTGGCCCATGCTGGGGCAGTGCAGGCCATCGATCAGTCTAGGTCCCAGAGATCAGCAGGACCCAGGACCAGATATCGGCTAGAGATGCTGCTCATATGAATCCCCCTACCTTTCTCTGTCATGACATGAGCTCTGACTCCGTCAGCCTCTGCTGCCCTACAGCTATAGCGTTCTGTCCTCATCCTGTTCACAGCCACTGGCTCAGAGCAAGGTGATGTGGTGGGACGCTCAGATATCATTGTGCTTATGTAATGGGTTGAAAACAAAGTCACTAAAAACAGACACCCCTTTATTATTTTTTTTTAACCAATTTGTTTATGTATTTGTCTTAATTAATTAAAAATTGTAAATCTAAAGATGTTGTGCTAGTACAGCGGCCAGAGGTCAATGGAAAGTTAGACTTACCTGTGAGAAGGTCCACGCGCACTGGAAGGCCCAGAGAAATGTTTAGCTATGAGAGTCTGGGGCAACCGACATACCAATCATAAGGAGCAAACGCATTTGTGCTCAATTCTTACATGGTGCCTGGAAACATGATGACTTATCCAGTTTTACAAGGAGGTTACTGGCACAAAGGAACACCACTTGTCTGGTCATGCTAGACACTGACTAGAAATTGACTTGACTATAGGAGTCATCAAAAAGAGGGGAGAGTGTAATGGGTTAAAAACAAAGTCACTTAAAACAGACACCCCTTTATTATTATTAAACCAATTTGTTTATGCATTTGTCTTAATTAATCTCAATTGTATATCTACATGCTTTAGCATTAGTAGTCCATCAGGCCAATAGATGGCGCTGTTCCACTGTGGTAGTAGGAGAAACAGCAAGTTCTGGCAAAGCAGCGCGCACCATTCTTCAGAATAAAGAAAGTGCCAGAACTTTGCAGACGTAAACTTGTGTCCGTTCTTTTTACTATTACAGGTATGTAACAGAACTTCCAAATGTTATAATATCGAAAGAATATGCAATAACATGCTATTTAACAACTTTGTCAAGGTATTATCACATTAGGAAAGGTTTGGTGTTTTGTGTCGAACTGAGTGAGAGAAGAACGTGATTTACAATATGTTGAGAGTATATGTTAGCTTGATGCTAGCTGAGGTAAAAACGACTTACAAGTCACAGAGACTGTTTACTGAGTAGCTTACTTGTACTGGATTTTGTCTAGGAGATTTTATAAAGAATCCATTTGTTAGGGATTTCTGAGTTTGTTTCACTTATTATTGGTTTTGTGTAAAATTGTGCTCACGAGCTGGTAAACTGGCCGCGCACGCTCAGTCTGGAGCGTGGACTTTTAGTACAGACAGTGCGGGTGCAAGTGAGAGAGAGACGATTTTACGGAGGTGCTACTATCTTAAAGCTGAATGTATTGTCAGTTTTCTATATTGGTAGCGGTATATAGAAAAACATTCAGTTATTTTTGTCTTCATATATAAGTGTTTCTATTGTATGAACGTGAAATACATTTAGGTTTTTATGTGAAATCATACAGTAATTTTTTTAAAATTCTGCTTCAGGTAAAGTGCATTTATGTTGTGTAATTTAAAGTGTGCACTTGTTTGATGTGAATGTTTTAAAAAGTACGAACAAGAAAATAGACAATTAAACAAGAGAAGAAAAAAAACATTCTTCAGAATAAAGAAAGCGCCAGAACTTTGCAGACGTAAACTTGTGTCCGTTCTTTTTACTATTACAGGCCACCTCAGCTACAGACTGAGACCGGTAACACTTACATGACAGACAGCTCATTGTGTCCTATCTTCTCCACACACACACACACAGTATCTACAGGTCATCAAGGGGCCAAATTCAAACACCTGTTGGTAACTAAACCCAGACCCCTGCTAAAACCATCAAAATATATCTCCTTCACACAGCACCAAACAGGAGCTTTAAACTAGTGTAGTACAGGTCAGGTTGATAAGGGTAGAGAGGCTTCCCTCTCTGTGGCTGCATTTACACAGGCAGCCCAATTCAGATATTTTTTCACTAATAGTCTTTGAATCATCAAGATCGTCTCCTGTGTTGCTCTGAGGGGCAAGTTGCTGCCTTGCAGTAGAAACTCCACGTAGCTAATCTGTGTTTCTCTCTACTACAATGAGATCTGGCAGCTTAGTGGGTAGAGCGTGTGCAGTAACCGAACGTCTGGTTATAATCCCGAGCCGACACTCGATGTGCCTTAAGCAGGACTTACCTAATTGCTCCGGAAGTTCTGATAAGAGCTCTGCTAATGCCTACTAATGTAATGGTCAAGTGCAGATAACCCCAGCGTCAAGGGAGAGGAGAGGTCTCAGAGGACAACTCACTCACAGGATGAAGACACACAGGCCACCTTTCACCCACTGGCCTGCAGCATACAGGCAGTAGATATATCAAGTTGAGGATAAGCCGACGGGCACTGTTTTGTACACTAGGGTTGTGTTAGGCAGACACAGACAGGAAACATAGGGGCATGTGGGTGGGACACTTTGGTACACGGGTGGCTTGAGTGAGAGAAGGGGACATAATGTAACATAATAGGGTAAAAAAAATATATAGGCCGAAATACAGGCTCTATTTCTAGATATTGACACTGGTTACAGCAATAGTGGTCACTGAATATTTTTGGCAGAAGAGTACGTTTGCCTTGTGTGGATCGGTCGCATAAGACTTTTCCTTTAATGTAATGTCTGGATGAAATGAGGGATCAAAAGGTGACCTCAAGCCAGAAACAGAATAAAGTGCTATTTTTGACATTAGAGCTTTATGTTGATGCCACTAAATCAATATTCCCAAGTTAAAAGGATCAAGTTCTTAATACTTATAGCAATGTAATCAACAGCGATATCTTACTGATCCAATCACATTTTCAGTACTTTCCCTACCCAAAGATAATATAATACACTTGACATTTGTAATGGTAGCCTTTTGTGCACTTCAAATTCAAATACACAGCAATAATAAAACATATTAGAAATCAAAATAACGTACAGCCTTACCTCCAAAATTAGCCAGTCTCCCTAACCGTGTCACTGGTACCTTTCTCTCTCGTGCTCTTTCACTGAGCTACAACAAAGAGAGAACAACACAATGGTAGACAACATACACACACAGTACATCTCTGAGACACAGGTAACAGTGAGAGAAGATGTGTAGACGTACCATTTGTTTGTGTGGTTTCTCATTCCTCTTGGCTTCTCTGGCCTTCTCCATGGCCTCGGCCGTGAGGCCCCCAACCCCCGAGCCATCCTGGTGATAGGAGCGGTAGGATCTATAGGATAGGTAGGAACGGATCTGTCCTGAGAACTGGCTGTTGGGGTTCTTGTAGCCCTCAAACAGCTTGGATTTGACTGAGGCCTGGCCGTTGTACGTCCCGCAGGTCGCTCGGTCTGTGGTCCCCATCCCCTCTGAGGAGAAGCCTTGTCCCTCTTCCCTGAACCCTGACCCTACGTGTTCCCCACGGTCCATGCTGCTCCCCTCTGCTCCGGAGAAGTCATACTTGCTGTCCATGTCTGCTGGGAAGTCATCAGACACACTTTGCTGCTGCCCACAAAACTCCTGGAACAGATATGGAAGGTCAATGAGGAACTGTGGAGTGGTTTCGCTGGATTGTCCTGACCAGGAAAAACTCATGGCCCGAAGATATTTTCCCAGATATTTTCCATGTCAGGTCATGCGGTCAGGAAAAACTCTTGGCCCTAACTAAGGGCCACCTTATTGATCTGCCTCAAGTCAAACTGTTTTACATCCACAGCAGGCCATGCTTAGTGGGGGCTTTGTTCTCTACTATTGGACTATTCCTACGCTGTAAAAACAAATTGCAGTCAGCTGTACAGACCGTAACGCAGCCATTATAAGATTACAAAGCTCTATGAATCAATCTTTTGTTGAGCTCACACTAAATTAGGCACAAAGAAAGGCTAGGAAGCTATTTGACACTGATTCTGTAAGTAGAATTGTTTTAACTTGTAAACTGTGTTGGTTCTGTCTGTCTGTCATAGTTAGTAAGCTACCCAGTCTGCTTAAGAAGTGATTGCTACCCATTCACACTGGACGCAGGTCCAGCCACTTCTTTTGTTCTCTGCAGATTACAACTCAATAGGAGGGGGAGTGGCTACACTTGTGCTAGGCAATTAGCTTAGTGGTATTAGCACAACCTCTTTGTTCAGCGGCAGCTGTCCCCAAAACGAAGACTGTCCCTGAAACAAAGACAGTTCTGCCAAGTTGTTCTGCGGAAGTTAGTCGAGGGAGGCCCCGCTCTCTCGCTTCCGCAGATGTTTAGTTAATTTCATTCCGATCTCTTTTGCATTATTGTAGCCTTTTCTGTAGCCTGTCAACTATGTGTCTGTCTATCCCTGTTCTCTCCTCTCTGCACAGGCCATACAAACGCTTCACACCGCGTGGCTGCTACCACTCTAATCTGGTGGTCCCTGCGCGCACGACCCACATGGAGTTCCAGGTCTCCGGCAGCCTCTGGAACTGCCGTTCTGCGGCCAACAAGGCATCTCAGCCTATGCTACCCTCCAGTCTCTCGACTTCTTGGCACTGACGGAAACATGGATTACTACAGAAAACACTGCTACTCCTACTGCTCTTTCCTCGTCTGATCATGTGTTCTCGCATACCCCGAGAGCATCTGGTCAGCGCGGTGGTGGCACAGGAATCCTCATCTCTCCCAAGTGGACATTCTCTCTTTTCCCCCTGACCCATCTGTCTATCTCCTCATTTGAATTCCATGCTGTCACAGTCACTAGCCCATTCAAGCTTAACATCCTTGTCATTTATCGCCCTCCAGGTTCCCTTGGAGAGTTCATCAATGAGCTTGACGCCTTGATAAGTTCCTTTCCTGAGGATGGCTCACCCCTCACAGTTCTGGGTGACTTTAACCTCCCTACGTCTGCCTTCGACTCATTTCTCTCTGCCTCCTTCTTTCCACTCCTTTCCTCTTTTGACCTCACCCTCTCACCGTCCCCCCCCTACTCACAAGGCAGGCAATACGCTTGACCTCATCTTTACTAGATGCTGTTCTTCTACTAAATCTCACTGCAACTCCCCTCCAAGTCTCCGACCACTACTTTGTATCCTTTTCTCTCTCGCTCTCCTCCAACACTACTCACTCTGCCCCTACTCAGATGGTAATGCGCCGTTGCAACCTTCGCTCTCTCTCTCCCGCAACTCTCTCCTCTTCCATCCTATCATCTCTTCCCTCTGCTAAATCCTTCTCCCTCCGGTCTCCTGATTCTGCCTCCTCGGCCCTCCTCTCCTCCCTTTCTGCATCTTTTGACTCTCTATGTCCCCTATCCTCCCGCCTGGCTCGGTCCTCCCCTCCGTGTCTTGACGACTCATTGCGAGCTCACAGAACAGGGCTCCAGGCAGCCGAGCGGAAATGGAGGAAAACTAGACTCCCTGCGGACCTATCATCTTTTCACTCCCTCCTCTCTACATTCTCTTCCTCTGTTTCTGCTGCTAAAGCCACTTTCTACCACTCTAAATTTCAAGCCTCTGCCTCTAACCCTAGGAAACTCTTTGCCACCTTCTCCTCCCTGCTGAATCCTCCTCCTCCTCCCCCTCTGTGGATGACTTCGTCAACCATTTTGAAAAGAAGGTTGACGACATCCGATTCTCATTTATTAAGTCAAAGGACACCGCTGGTCCTGCTCACACTGCCCTACCCTATGCTTTGACTTCTTTCTCCCCTCTCTCTCCAGATGAAATCTTGCGACTTGTGACGGCCGGCCGCCCAACAACCTGCCCGCTTGACCCTATCCCCTCCTCTCTTCTCCAGACCATTTCCGGAGACCTTCTCCCTTACCTCACCTCGCTCATCAACTCATCCTTGACCGATGGCTACAGTGGGGGAAAAAAGTATTTAGTCAGCCACCAATTGTGCAAATTACAGAAAATCACATTGTAGGATTTTTAATGAATTTATTTGCAAATTATGGTGGAAAATAAGTATTTGGTCAATAACAAAAGTTTCTCAATACTTTGTTATATACCCTTTGTTGGCAATGACACAGGTCAAACGTTTTCTGTAAGTCTTCACAAGGTTTTCACACACTGTTGCTGGTATTTTGGCCCATTCCTCCATGCAGATCTCCTCTAGAGCAGTGATGTTTTGGGGCTGTCGCTGGGCAACACAGACTTTCAACTCCCTCCAAAGACTTTCTATGGGGTTGAGATCTGGAGACTGGCTAGGCCACTCCAGGACCTTGAAATGCTTCTTACGAAGCCACTCCTTCGTTGCCTGGGCGGTGTGTTTGGGATCATTGTCATGCTGAAAGACCCAGCCACGTTTCATCTTCAATGCCCTTGCTGATGGAAGGAGGTTTTCACTCAAAATCTCACGATACATTGCCCCATTCATTCTTTCCTTTACACGGATCAGTCGTCCTGGTCCCTTTGCAGAAAAACAGCCCCAAAGCATGATGTTTCCACCCCCATGCTTCACAGTAGGTATGGTGTTCTTTGGATGCAACTCAGCATTCTTTGTCCTCCAAACACGACGAGTTGAGTTTTTACCAAAAAGTTCTATTTTGGTTTCATCTGACCATATAACATTCTCCCAATCCTCTTCTGGATCATCCAAATGCACTCTAGCAAACTTCAGACGGGCCTGGACATGTACTGGCTTAAGCAGGGGGACACGTCTGGCACTGCAGGATTTGAGTCCCTGGCGGCGTAGTGTGTTACTGATGGTAGGCTTTGTTACTTTGGTCCCAGCTCTCTGCAGGTCATTCACTAGGTCCCCCGTGTGGTTCTGGGATTTTTGCTCACCGTTCTTGTGATCATTTTGACCCCACGGGGTGAGATCTTGCGTGGAGCCCCAGATCGAGGGAGATTATCAGTGGTCTTGTATGTCTTCCATTTCCTAATAATTGCTCCCACAGTTGATTTCTTCAAACCAAGCTGCTTACCTATTGCAGATTCAGTCTTCCCAGCCTGGTGCAGGTCTACAATTTTGTTTCTGGTGTCCTTTGACAGCTCTTTGGTCTTGGCCATAGTGGAGTTTGGAGTGTGACTGTTTGAGGTTGTGGACAGGTGTCTTTTATACTGATAACAAGTTCAAACAGGTGCCATTAATACAGGTAACGAGTGGAGGACAGAGGAGCCTCTTAAAGAAGAAGTTACAGGTCTGTGAGAGTCAGAAATCTTGCTTGTTTGTAGGTGACCAAATACTTATTTTCCACCATAATTTGCAAATAGATTCATTAGAAATCCTACAATGTGATTTTCTGGATTTTTTTCTCTCAATTTGTCTGTCATAGTTGACGTGTACCTATGATGAAAATTACAGGCCTCTCATCTTTTTAAGTGGGAGAACTTGCACAATTGGTGGCTGACTAAATACTTTTTTCCCCCCACTGTATGTCCCTTCTGTCTTCAAGAGGGCGAGAGTTGCACCCCTCCACAAAAAATCTACACTCGATCCCTCCGATGTCAATAACTACAGACCAGTATCCCTTCTTTCTTTTCTCTCCAAAACTCTTGAGCGTGCCGTCTCTAGCCAACTCTCCTGCTATCTCTCTCAGAATTACCTTCTTGATCCTAACCAGTCAGGTTTCAAGACTGGTCATTCAACTGAGACTGCTCTTCTCTGTGTCATGGAGGCTCTCCGCACTGCCAAAGCTAACTCTCTCTCCTCTTATCCTTCTAGACCTATCTGCTGCCTTTGATACTGTGAACCATCAGATCCTCCTCTCCACCCTCTCCGAGTTGGGCATCTCCGGCACTGCTCACTCTTGGATTGCGTCCTACCTGACAGGTCGCTCCTACCAGGTGGCGTGGCGAGAATCTGTCTCCGCACTACGTGCTCTCACCACTGGTGTCCCCCAGGGCTCAGTTCTAGGCCCTCTCCTATTCTCTCTATACACCAAGTCACTTGGCTCTGTCATATCCTCACATGGTCTCTCCTATCATTGCTACGCAGACGACACACAATTAATTTTCTCCTTTCCCCCTTCTGATAACCAGGTGGCGAATCGCATCTCTGCATGTCTGGCAGACATATCAGTGTGGATGTCGAATCACCACCTCAAGCTGAACCTCGGCAAGACGGAGCTGCTCTTCCTCCCGGTGAAGGACTGCCCGCTCCATGATCTCACCATCACGGTTGACAACTTCATTGTGTCCTCCTCCCAGAGTGCAAAGAACCTTGGCGTGACCCTGGACAACACCCTGTCGTTCTCTGCTAACATCAAAGCGGTGACCCGATCCTGTAGGTTCATGCTGTACAACATTTGCAGAGTACGACCCTACCTTACACAGAAAGCGGCACAGGTCCTAATCCAGGCACTTGTCATCTCCCGTCTGGATTACTGCAACTCGCTGTTGGCTGGGCTCCCTGCCTGTGCCATTAAACCCCTGCAACTTATCCAGAATGCTGCAGCCCGTCTGGTGTTGAACCTTCCCAAGTTCTCTCATGTCACCCCCCTCCTCTGCACACTCCACTGGCTTCCAGTTGAAGCTCGCATCTACTACAAAACCATGGTGCTTGCCTACGGAGCTGTGAGGGGAACGGCACCTCCTTACCTTCAGGCTCGGATCAGACCCTACAACCAAACGAGGGCACTACGTTCATCCACCTCTGGCCTGCTAGTCTCCCTACCTCTACGGAAGCACAGTTCCCGCTCAGCCCAGTCAAAGCTATTCACTGCTCTGGCACCCCAATGGTGGAACAAGCTCCCCCACGACGCCAGGACAGCGGAATCACTGACCACCTTCCAGAGACACTTGAAACCCTACCTCTTTAAGGAATACCTCGAATAGTATAATAGTAATCCTTCTACCCCCCCTTTACTACCACTGTATTTTGTCTAAACTAACACCTGACTTATTTCACCTGCTAGCACTGACTTGTTTAAAGAAATGTACTTATTGTGATCGAGATGTAGTTGTCCCTGATTGCACTGACTTTGCTCACAGCTGCTTGTTTGAAGAAGTGTACTTACTGTGATCAAGATGTGGTTGTCCCACTGGCTATCCTAAGTTGAATGCACCAATTTGTAAGTCGCTCTGGATAAGAGCGTCTGCTAAGTGACTTAAATGTAAATGTAACGCTCTGTCATCCATTTTAGATCTGGCCATTGGAGGTGGTGTTGTCTGACATTGAAAAAGACAATCAATGTAACAATACCTTGCATACATGATATGAGACTCATGAGAGATCATGTTTTACAACCCTACACTTGAAACCCAATGCCTTTTTACTACTACTACTTTGATCTACAGAAGTGTGAAGCGATCAGAATGGGTGACAAGAGACCCTTCTGAGATAGTAGCCCAGGTCTAGTGCCTGACTTTGCTCACATGGTTGTCCACTACCCCCATAGAAGAGCCCTGTTCATCTCCTGCTTTACCCACCTGCATCTTCTGCATGGCTACTACCAGGCTCTGCTCTGCAGTCATCTGCATGCTCTGGGCCATGGCCTGGGCTCCTCCAATACGCAGTGTGTTGGCCTGAGTCTCTATTACCGCCTGGCTCAGCTTGGTCAAGCCAAGCATCACCAACATCATGTCACCTGCCATGATGGGTCTCCCTCACACCTAGAACAGAAATGTGGAAAGAATCATTTTTTTTTTGTTTAGGTTGGAGTTACATACCAAAGTCGACAGTGTGTACATACAACATAGTCTGAGGCTAGATGTACTGAAAGTAGGCCTCGTCGTGCTGTAACTCTTTGTGTATAATCTAAGACAAAACTTCATAACAATGAATGTCAATTCAATAGTGAATGTAACAGTTTGACAAAGGGAAAGGAAATACGGGTCAAATAAGAATTGTGTACAGTCACGAATGGCCTATTGGAGAATGTGAAAGTCACAACACTATAGGCCACTGGCTGAGGTTTAAGTATTGCAGGCTATTGGCCAGCTATCCACTCAGCACTGCAGTCAGTCAACAACTAGAGTACCTGGTCGGGCAGACAGAAAAACACAGCTGTTATCAAGGCTTACCACGGCCAAGACAAGCTTGCAAAGGTTAAACATGTTTTCACTCTGAGACCAGGGGACAAACCTTTAAGTAATGACTGCCAACACCTGGGCTACACCGGGAATTAAAGGTGTTACGTTACAACAAACACGAGCATGTCTCTACTTTACTAAAGATTCTCTGGAAGGAAATGGGAAGGATTGGCATGGAAAGTACCCTTGCCTGGCTCGCAGTGCAGGACTTTGATAGTATCCACTGGTGGTCAGTTATTTTTTGCTATAATGCATGGTCATACTCACAAGTTTCTTTCATCAGTGAGTGATAGAGAAAGGCCACTGAAATGTGGCTTTACAACTAGATTATCTGCCCTTTTCAAATCTCATTGCTGACATAACTGGGCTGGCCTTAACCAAACACTATCAAAATCAAATCAAATGTATGTAGTTCTGTCCTTGAGCAGTTCCTTAAATGTTCTGTATTATGCCATGTTTCATGTTTTGTGTGGACCCCAGGAAGAGTAGCTGCTGCTTTTGCAACAGCTAATGGGGAATCCTAATAAAATACCAAATACATAGGATTTAGTGAACAGAAGAGTTAAGCTAGTCAAAGGAAGGATTGTTTGTGCTTGGTGACAGCTTGGCCATCCTGAGACTCAGAGGGCTTTAGAATTGGCCTGTGTTCTGAGGTAGTTGGGAACCAAGCAGGCTGCTTACTCACTGAGGAAACAACAAGGTCCCCTGAAAAAAAAACAGCATGACTTAATGTTAGTCAATGGCTTGTATGGTTATTCATAGCTGGTGGTGAAATCAAATCATCAAGCAACGATATCTTGCTTATAGCCTTCTTTCCAGACACCATTTATGGGTCTGATATTCTCTTTACAAATCAGGGTGCATAGAAATCAGTAAGTCATGTCACATAGCCATGGATCAAATGGTTCTTCATATAATAGAGAAAACATTTTAATTTCAAGGACGCCCTCACTCCCTGAGACTTCAAATCAAATCTTGAAACAAGGTCACCGTAACTTTGCCTCATTTATTTGGCAACCGAGTAACTACTGCATACTAGCCAGCCAGACTCCCCCTGCACTCACACGCTCAATCACACACACAAAACACATACACAGTGCCTCCAGAAAGTATTAATACCCCTTGACTTACAGTGAGGGAAAAAAAGTATTTGATCCCCTGCTGATTTTGTACGTTTGCCCACTGACAAAGAGATTATCAGTCTATAATTTTAAATGGTAGGTTTATTTGAACAGTGAGAGACAGAACAACAACAAAAAAATCCAGAAAAACGCATGTCAAAAATGTTATAAATTGATTTGCATTTTAATGAGGGAAATAAGCATTTGACCACTCTGCAAAACATGACTTAGTATTTGGTGGCAAAACCCTTGTTGGCAATCACAGAGGTCAGACGTGTCTTGTAGTTGGCCACCAGGTTTGCACACATCTCAGGAGGGATTTTGTCCCACTCCTCTTTGCAGATCTTCTCTAAGTCATTAAGGTTGAGGCTGACGTTTGGCAACTCAAACCTTCAGCTCCCTCCACAGATTTTCTATGGGATTAAGGTCTGGAGACTGGCTAGGCCACTCCAGGACCTTAATGTGCTTCTTCTTGAGCCACTCCTTTGTTGCCTTGGCCGTGTGTTTTGGGTCATTGTCATGCTGGAATACCCATCCACGACGCATTTTCAATACGCTGGCTGAGGGGAGGTGGTTCTCACCCAAGATTTGATGGTACATGGCCCCGTCCATCGTCCCTTTGATGCGGTGAAGATGTCCTGTCCCCTTAGCAGAAAAACACCCCCAAAGCATAATGTTTCCACCTCCATGTTTGACGGTGGGGATGGTGTTCTTGGGGTCATAGGCAGCATTCCTCCTCCTCCAAACACGGCGAGTTGACTTTCACCCAGTTCTCCTCTGAATCATTCAGATGTTCATTGGCAAACTTCAGACGGCCCTGTATATGTGCTTTCTTGAGCAGGGGGACCTTGCGGGCGCTGCAGGATTTCAGTCCTTCACGGCGTAGTGTGTTACCAATTGTTTTCTTGGTGACTATGGTCCCAGCTGCCTTGAGATCATTGACAATATCCTCCCGTGTAGTTCTGGGCTGATTCCTCACCGTTCTCATGATCATTGCAACTCCACAAGGTGAGATCTTGCACGGAGCCCCAGGCCGAGGGAGATTGACAGTTCTTTTGTGTTTCTTCCATTTGCGAATAATCGCACCAACTGTTGTCACCTTCTCACCAAGCTGGTTGGCGATGGTCTTGTAGCCCATTCCAGCCTTGTCTTGGAGAGCTCTTTGGTCTTGGCCAGGGTGGAGAGTTTGGAATCTGATTGATTGATTGCTTCTGTGGACAGGTGTCTTTTATACAGGTAACAAACTGATATTAGGAGCACTCCCTTTAAGAGTGTGCTCCTAATCTCAGCTCATTACCTGTATAAAAGACACCTGGGAGCCAGAAATCTTTCTGATTGAGAGGGGGTCAAATACTTATTTCCCTCATTAAAATGCAAATCAATTTATAACATTTTTGACATGCGTATTTCTGGATTTTTTTGTTCCGTCTCTCACTGTTCAAATAAACCTACCATTAAAATTATAGACTGTTCATTTCTTTGTCAGTGGGCAAACGTACAAAATCAGCAGGGGATCAAATATTTTTTCCCCTCACTGTATTCAACATTTTGTTGTGTTACAGCCCGAATTCAAAATTGATTAAATATATATTTTCCATCACCCATCTACACACAATACCCCATAATGAGAAAGTGAAAACATGGGTAAGAAATGTTTGCACATTTATTTAAAATGAAATACAGAAAAATAATTTTACATAAGTATTCACACCCCTTTGCTATGACACTCCAAATTGAGCTCAGGTGCATCCAATTTACTTTGATCATTCTTGAGATGTGACTACAACATGATTGGAGTACACCTGTGGCCAATTCAATTGGTTGGATATGATTTAGAAAGAAACGCCTGTCTATATAAAGGTCCCACAGTTGACAGTGCATGTCAGAGCAGAAACTATACCATGAAGTCCAAGAAACTGTCCGTAGATCTCCGAGATAGAATTGTGATGAAGCATATATCTGGGAAAGGGTATAAAACAATTTCTAGAGTGTTTAAAGTTTCCAAGAGCCCAATGGCCTCCATCACTGGGAAATTGAACAAATATGGAACAACCCTGACTCTGCCTAGAGCTGTCCGTCCGACCAAACTGAGCAAGAAGGACCTTGGTCAGGGAGGTGACCAAGAACCCAAAGACCACTGACAGAACTACATAGTTCCTTGGCTGAGATGGGAGAACCTGCCAGAAGGACAACAGTCTCTATAGCACTTCACCAATCTGGGCTTTATGGGAGAGTGGCCAGACAGAAGCTAGGGGGCTTAGTTAGCCAGAATAGCTTACCAAGTAAGAGAGTGCAAGGCACTCTTTTTTTACTCTAGCTAGCGACGAGTTTACAAATACTAGCTAGCTAGATGTCAGGCTAGTCTGGTGATCTATGCTTTATGACACTACTTGTCAGGCTAGTCTGGTGTTCTATGCTTTATGACGCTACTTTTTAGCCACAGAAGCAAACATGTCTCTATGAATTGCAATTGCTAGAGCGTGAACTGCTCTTACTACTCAGATTTTTTTTTTTTTACTGAGAAAATGGCAAGTTCGTCCACTGATCACTACAAGAAGGGACAATGGAGAATACACTTCTCTTGTCCAACCTATGTGAAGCATTGACGAGGAAAGACATTTTCAATACTTTCGGATGTTGGCACCTCACATCTTGCATGAGAGAACTCACAGCTTGCCGGTAAGTGCTGGAAAAAGGCTGCCTGTGACCCTTTCGGTTTTTGGTGAGTGGAAGCACACAGTAAATTATCGCTGCGAGTTATAAGATAAGAATCACAGAAGTGTGCCAGGCTATCTGGCATGTCCTGAAGGATGATTTTGTTGCTTATCCCTCCGTGGCAAAATGGACTTCTCCATGAAGGAGGTGGGCGCATATGGTCGGGAGGGAGATGCGGGAATCTTCTCACGAAGCAAGTTCAGCTCCCAACTCAATGCAGGCCAGCTGCCGGTACCATGGCCAGAGTGCTTGCCAGGGACCCAAACACAGAAACCATGTCTTTGTGGAAGACGATGCATTCTCTCTGATGGTAAACCTGATGCAACCATATCCAGGTAAGATACATTAAATAAATGGGACGTGAAAATGATACCAATATAGACGTAATTATATGCCTCACATAAAAAAGTGATCTGGCATCTCAGTAAGAGGATGGGGGCCTATGTCAAAGCATAGGCTACACAGTTGTTACAGTACACGTTTGATAGCCTTCATGTTCCTGTTCAATATGAATGGAAATGCTTATTCTATTCAAAAAAAAGGTTATTCTGGCCTTGATGACACCAAGAAGATCTACAACTACCACCACTCAAGAGCCAGAAGAATTTCAGAGAACTGCTTTGGGATCCTTGCTTTAAGATGGAGGATCCTGGAACGAGCCCTTGAGGTTGCCTCAGAGAATGGTGAGACCATTATGTAGGCCTGTGTAGGGCTGTGGCAGTCACAAAATTCCGTCAGCCGGTGATTGTCAAGCAAATAACTGTCGGTTTCACGGTAAT